GATCAAAGTTTAAACTGGCATGTTGAAAATCTTTTATCTGCTCATTTTCAGAATCAGAAGAATTTTATTGTCATTGTCAGAAAGACAAAAAAATGGCAGTTTCAATTACAACCATCCATTACCCAACAACACGAGGGGGGGATAGTTGGCTGAGGCCTCGCAGCCCGACAGGCGCCGCCCTGTGCAATATTTATCAACTAACATCAGAAAATCGCAAAGAACAAGAATATATTTTCCACTCTGATTGGCTGATGTTAGGCCTACCAATTTCATTGCATTTTTCATAAACACCTGTGAAAATAATTTCTATTCTCATGGCTTTTTTGTTCTCTGGGAAATTATTTTTGATGATAAAAACAGAAACAAGCATAAAAATCAAAACATCAACAATAGTGATAGTAATATTATTAATAAAATAATATTCAGTGCAAAGTAGCCCAGAATTTCTTTAATGGGGGGCGGTGAGGGACCTGGATAATGAATAGGGGGGCGCTGGCCCAAAAAAGGTTGAGAAACACTGATGTAAAAAACTATGGCCTTAAAAAGTATTAAATTTCTGTTTAAATATTTTTGTTGCCTGAAATCCGTCAGCCACGGCGCTTACATGTTGGCCTGTTTAATCTGGATGTGCTTTTGTTTTTTTCTGTTCTGTCCGGCTAAAGTTGGTGTCGACATCTTCGGTGCGTTTTCAGTTTGATCCATGTTTTAGCTAGAAAAACTAGCTAAAACATGCTTTTTAGAAAAAGCTAGAAAAAACTAGCTTTTCTAGCTAACTAGCTCAGCGGTAGCCTCAACAGCCTGGGATGAAAAAGCAGCGAAGATGCTAGCTTTATTAGCTAGCTAGCTAGCTAGAAAAGCTAACGAGCTTGATAGCCTTCCTGCATCTTTCATGAGTCAGTGCAAATGTATCGCCAGTTGGCTGGACGATGTTTGTTTTTACCACTGGATGACTTCTGTTGTCGACCCATAAGAAAACGTTTAATACATAAACAAAGTTATTGAAATTGGAGGAAATTTTTGTTAAATTAGTCTCTTGTTGTCGGATCAGTCGGGTGTTTAGGGTGAAACATTTCAAAGCCTTTTGTTTTATTTTAGCTTAACTTGTCTCTGCTGTAGAAAACTATCAAAAGATGTTATTAATAACAGTGATAAATGAGATAATATAATCTGACTTGAAACTATTGTTTTCATCTCCCAGGTGTTTTGCTGGAAAACTTTGAAAACCTCCTGAGAATTGTTTGAATTTTGTTGTGTGAAAAGTGAACGAATAATTTGGCCAAATATTGAGATGCATGTTTGATGCGTGTTTCTGTGTGTTTTGCTGCGCTGCTGCAGGGTGGTGGTGCAGCGCTTCGTGCAGCAGAAGCTCTACCTGTTCCTGCAGCATTGCTTCGGACACTGGCCGCTGGATGCCTCCTTCAGAGCCGTACGTTACCTTAGGATGAACCGCAGCGTTTAGTTTATTACCAATAATATAACATGAAATTATCAACCAACAATTGAAATCCAGTTAGGCTGAAATTAAAATATGTTTATTCGTTCACTGAAGGTCTGAGATTAATTTAGTACAGGAAAAAGCTCAAAGAACTAGAAAATTGAGAAAAAAGTCAATATTTTCAGTATTTTTTTCACTCATTTCAGTGAAACTCGTAAATTATATTGATTTAAAAATCCTTGAGTGAGATATTCCGTTTTTATTTCCTGAATTCTGACGATTCAGAGAATAAAACCCCAAAATTCAGCATCTCATAAAATAACACCACATTAGTATTTTATTTTAAATGAAAATGTTCTGATAACTAACGCCTGGTCTGGGCTCATCCATGCGGCGCAGCACAGAGGACAGCTCATCTTCCTCTTGACAATACTTCATAGATTCTCTCTGGGGTTCTGGCCCGCCCCATTCCTGGGGTCGCCATGGTGATTGAAGCAGCTCTTGGATCAGTACCCAGTCCCGTTGGAAAAAGAAACCAACTTCTAGCGTCAAACTAGATGTTTCCAGCTCATAGCTGTTGGCGTGAAAAACTCTAAATGTTCTGCTAGACGGCTGGTGGTGCTGGTGAACCTTTTCCTTCCACTAAACTTTCCATGACTACGTTAGAGTAATATTCTAATCTTCTGAGACACTGAATCTATTTTTCAAAGGGTTTTTATTCTCTGAACAAAAGTCATTGAAATGAGAAGAAATAAAGACCTGAAGTCAGTAATGGGTTTGTTTTTTCAATGAGACTAAAACTGCTTCACTTTTTCTCAATATTTTAATGTTTAATGATTTCTTGTCGTATTTCACTGAGGTAGAAATGTAATGACGATAAATCTCGTTCAGGTGTTGGAGACGTGGCTCAGCTACATTCAGCCTTGGAGATACACAGGAGAGAAGCCCAATGCCCAACCCGATCAGAACAGAACCGTGCCGGACAAATGGTGAGTGCACCCACCTGGGATTTCTGGTTGGCGCCGGTTCTGTTTGCTGACCATTGCTCTGCCGCAGGGAGCCGTTTGTCCATGAGAACCTGCTGCTCTACACCAAGCTGTTCCAGGGCTTCCTGAACCGGGCCACGCGGACCGACCTGGTCAACGCCAAGAACGCCCTGATGGTGTTCCGGGCCGCCAAGGTTCTGGCCCAGCCCAACCTGGCAGACATGATCCAGAGAGGTGAGGCCCAATGTAGTGCAGTGAGTCTGATCGGGGCACATACATCTATAACTAGAATTTAAATCTCAGTCGCTCTCTGCTCTCACTCAGCCTGATCTCGGCTCAACCGACCGGCAGCTGATTGGTCGCTGTCGTCCAGTCAGATTATTCCTGGGAAATATTGCCATGAAAGCACCAAATACTGCAGCAAACGTCCAAAATTAGGAGCAAAGCAGGAGAATAAAATACACACGTGAATTTTGTCGCCGTGAGTTAAGCAATACAGATAATAGTTTTTAATATTACTATAAAGTTTTGGAGAGCAAGATGAACTCTGAAGAATTTTTCTCATCTTTAAGCTATTTCTACAAACTGGATTCCAAAAAAGTTGTGACACTAAACAAATTGTGAATAAAAACTAAATGCAATGATGTGGAGGTGCCAACATCTAACATTTTATTCACAATAGAACACAAATCACAGATCAAAAGTTTAAACTGAGTAAATGTATCATTTTAAGGGACAAATATGTTGTTTCAAAATTTCATGACGTCAACAAATCCCGAAAAAGTTGGGACAAGGCCATTTTTACCACTGTGTGGCATCTCCCCTTCATCTTACAACACTCAGACGTCTGGGGACAGAGGAGACCAGTTTCTCAAGTTTAGAAGTAGGAATGCTCTCCATTCATGTCTAATACAGGCCTCTAACTGTTCAATCGTCTTGGGCCTTTTTTGTCGCACCTTCCTCTTTATGATGCACCAAATGTTCTCTATAGGTGAAAGATCTGGACTGCAGGCTGGACATTTCAGTACCTGGATCCTTCTCCTACGTAGCCATGATGTTGTGATTGCTGCAGAATGTGGTCTGGCATTATCTTGTTGAAAAATGCAGGGTCTTTCCTGAAAGAGATAGCGTCTAGATGGGAGCATATGTTGTTCTAGAACCTGAACATGGCTCTCTGCATTAATGGTGCCTTTCCAGACATGCAAGCTGCCCAGGCCACCAGCTCTCATGCAACCCCAGATCATCAGTGATGCAGCTTCTGAACGGAGCGTTGATAACAACTTGGGTTATCCTTGTCCTCTCTGGTCCGGATGACATGGCGTCCCAGTGTTCCATAAAGAACTTCAAATCGTGACTCATCTGACCACAGAACAGTCGTCCATTTTGCCTCACTCCATTTTAAATGACTCCTGGCCCAGTGCAAACGGCTGAGCTTGTGGAGCTGCTTAGAAATGGCTTCCTCTTTGCACTGTAGAGTTTCAGCTGGCAGCGGCGGATGGCACGGTGGATTGTGTTCACTGACGATGCTTTCTGGAAGTATTCCTGAGCCCAGGCTGTTATTTCCTTGACATTCCTGTTTGAGGTGCAGTGACGTTTAAGGGCCCGGAGATCACGAGCATCCAGTAGTTTTACGGCCTTGACCCTTATGCACAGCGATTGTTCCAGATCCTCTAAATCTTTTGATGATGTTATGCACGGTTGATGATGATAAAAGTCTTTACGCTGGGTAACACCATTCTGGTATTGCTGCACTATCTTTCTGCGCAACAATGGTGGAATTGGTGATCCTCTCACCATCTTGGCTTCAGAGACACTGACTCTCTAAGAAGCTCATTTTATATCCAATCATGTTGTCAGTTGACCTAATTAGTATTAATTGGTCTTCCAGCTGTTTGTTATATGTTCAATTTCCTTTTTCCAGCCACTTATTGCTACTTGTTCCAACTTTTTAGAGATTTGTAGACACTGAAATTTTGAATCAACATATTTTTCCTTTAAAATGTTACATTTACGCAGATTAAACTTTTGATCTGCCATCTATCTTCTATTACGAATAAAATATTGACATTTGCCATCTCCACATCATTGCATTCAGTTTTTATTCACAATTTATTTAGTGTCCCAACTTTTTTGGAATCCAGTTTGTATATTCTTGGATTTTATCCAATCGTCTCCTTGTATTTTTTAACAAAGAAACATGTTTCTCTATTGAATTTTAATATTTTTCACAGTTTTTGAAATGAGATTGTAAGGGTTATGCTGTATTCAAGAGTCGGTGTAATTTACATTGTTGGCACGTCTGTCGGTGTCAAATTCAAAAGGAAAACTTTATCCGTCAAAGTTTGGTTTTTATTCAGGTGAGGCGCGGCGCTCCGAATCTCATGATGACGTCACCGTTCCGATCCTGTTGGCTGGCTCCTCCGGGTTCACAGACATCCTTACACACACGGCTACAAGCACACACTCCCTGAATGCACCGCCTTCGCTGGCATGTTGTCTCCAGATGTTGCTTATATGTGTCAAGGTTTCCTGATGCTGATATTTAATGAAAATGGCAGCGCCTCCTCTCTCTGTTGGGTTAGGGTTATTGTCATTTTGTTGTGATTCTGTGCAAAAATAAAATAAAGCACTCCGATTCTTAAGAAATGCAGAATTAGCCAACCCAAGCATGTTTGCATTTCTTAACTAAATATTCTTTCAGTGAATTAAAAATTCAAGTGATTATTTTATTCTTCTGCTTTGCTCCTAATTCTGGACGTTTGCTGCAGTATTTACCAAGCGAGCGTTTGAGATTTAAATTCTAAATATTGTGTGTTAACATAGATGTATGCGCCCAGATCAGCCTCACTGCGCTCCACCATAGACCAGCGGCTGAATGATCAGGCTTACGCCTGTCGCGATAAACAATAAATGAATGAATCGCACGACAGATGAAAGTTATCGACCTCGTTTTAATTTGTCGGCTTTATCGTCTCTTCCTGCCCTTTTCTCTTTCTGTTGATGACACTGAATGAAAACGGGCTCAACTCGGTGCTCTCCACTGACTCCCCTCCTCGTTTCCTTAATGCTCAGCTCACATTACATGATCTTAGAACTGTCGGCCGACCGTCGGCCCGTTTTCAAAACCTAAGAGACGCACTAGCCGAAGACAAACCGTAAGTATAACGGGTTCAACCGGGTTCAATCGTGCCGTGTGACCAGCCACACAGCAAGAGCTACACCACACGAACCGATTTCTCTCACCGACATTCAGATTTCAGACAGAAAATCCCATAAAAACCCACTATATCAAAGTGAACGAACGCGGCTGAATGCATAGCCTCATCATTATTACCCATTAATAATAATGGGTAATAAACAGCTGAGAAGTTACCGGGTTCATCAGCTGCAGTAGCAAGTTCACTCCAACTCCTGTCCTGGTCATTTCTGTGGGTATTCCTCATGAAATGTTGAATAAACATATCATCTCCATGTCTGCTGGACTCTCGCTGTGCCGTGTCAGCTGTTTGGGATTCCTCTCCATGTTTTCCCTTCAGAAAGGCGGAGGGGAATCCGCGCTTTCTGATTGGCT